AAGATAAGATTCTGAGAAGTGGTGATGAAGAGAAGGGTACATTCTAGGCAAACAGGTCTCTTTTGCAAATGTTCAAAGATAGGAGAATAGTTGTTGAGTGGGTATTTTGGAGTAGATTAAAGGAAAATGACCTATCCAAGGCCACATAAATAATGAGGTCTCACTTTGTAACCTGCTCCGGTTGAGTAAATTGGCTAAAATTTTTTGGGAAGTAGCCAAAGAGAGTTGGAAAAAAAGAAGAAAAATTTTTATATTAAGTTGTCAAATCAAGTTAATAAGTATTTATTAAACCCCTACTATGTTCAGGTATCATGCTAAGTGCCTTTAGGATATATTTTCTCCCAAATATTCTATGTTCTCCCGTTCTCTACTTAGACACAGATTTAGCTGCTGCCCCTTTTTTGGTCCTCCCTTAAATTTAAAAGTCCCCCTCTCTCCCTATGAACCAAGTGTAGCAGATGTTAGGAACCCAGAACCTATCATCACTGTATACTCTGCCCTCCATCACACCACCAGCTGGTACTCCCAGACAAGCCATATCCACAATTTAGAATTTCTAACAGGTAGGGAAAGGAGACCAGATAGACATTTCCTCTGCCTCAAAAGATCTAGGTTGCAATGTCAGGTCCACATCTCACTAAAGGACACATATGTAGGAATGATGGGGGAGGAGGGATTGGCTGTTACTCTATGGACTTGTTTCTTCATCTGTAAAATGGGTGGGCTAGGACCAGATGGCCTTCTGATTCCCTTTCCACTCTAAATCTATGATTCTATGATCCCTCAGATTCCGAGAAGCACAGGGAGGTTTACCCCTGGGTCATGAAACTTTGGGCAATTGAAAGTAGGATTTTCATCTTTTAGTATGTCTTGGGAGAGAAAAAACAGAAAGGGGGGGGAAGAGAAGGGTTAAAATCAGCAATATTCTCATGATTGATGTTAACCATAGATATTGGACCACTAACAACAAAAGAATGTTAAACTGTATAAATGTATTTGAGTGTGGGAAAATAATGTTAAACATAATCATTTACATTAACTGCTTCCTATTTATGCCTAATTACTGTGCTGTGCTGCACAATAACAATTATATATACATACACACAGACATATTATATATATAAAATTAACTGTGTCAGATTAATTTGTGTAAGTTGTATTTGATTACAACACTTAGCTCTGTTCTTTTATGCTCAGCCTTCCTCATTTCTTCCTCCTACTCCTCTATTTGAGAGGCAGCCTGGTATAGTAGATAGAGAGCTGTCCTTGGAGTCAAAAAACCTGGGATTAAGTCTTTCATCTGACACATACTGGCAGAGTGATTCTGGGCAAGTCACCTAACCTCTCAAGGCCTCCCACAACCAGAAAAGATTCTAGGCTGCATTGGTCAAGGACCACTGGGAATTCCCCTCATACAGATGAAATCACAGACTGGACCAAAAAGAAAAAAAATCCTGTATTCACAACTTCTTAAAATTAGAGTGGTGGAGGGCAAAGCCAAGATGGTGGATTAGGGGCAGCTATCTAACTGAACTCTCCCAATATTCCCCTCCAAACAACTTTAAAATAATGCCTCAAATAAATCTTGGAGCAGCAGAGCCGACAAAAGGTCAGAATGAGACATTTTCTAGCCTAAGAAAACTTAGAAAGTTGGCAGAAGAGCTCTTTGACTCCAGAATAAAGACCTGTCTGGACCCCCCCCACACACACACACAGCAGCAGCAGCAGCAGCAGCAGCAGTGGTGACAGCAGCAGTTTCAAGAGCTCTCAGCCCAGAAATGGTAAAGGGGAAGACAACTGGCCAGAAAAAGATTACAGAGGACCTTTTGCTGGCACTGGGTGCAGCTGGCACTGATTGGCAACTATATTGTCCATACACTTTTCTGGATCACAGTTCCAGATTGCAGTTCCAGGGTGGAGAGGAGTTCTGGGGGTCAGTCACAAGGGAGCAGGGGCCCTGGTCCAGTTCCATGGCAAAGAGAACACCAGTGCTTGTGGCTGTAGAAGACCAGGGATGCTTCCTGGGCAATGACCAGAACACAGACTAGAAGTGCAGTGACCACACCTCTCCCAGGATCACAATACCTTCAAAGCACCAAAAATTTGCAAACTCCCAGAACTAGCCCCGAAAACAGAAGCATGAAAAAGCCTGAAGTTTGAGACAATGCCTCAGGTGAGCAGAGCCCAACTTTAACATAGAGTTCAAAGTCAAGAGATAGATTGGGAAAATGAGCAAACAAAAACCAAAAAGAATTTGACCATAAAAAGCTACTACACTGGCAGGGAAGACCAGGACATAAACTTAGAAGACAACAGTGTAAAAACAGCTACAAAGTCCCAAAGAAATTCCTGGAAGAGTTAAAGAAAGAGATAAGATTGGTAGAGGAAAAATTGGGAAAATAAATGAGAATGATACAACTAAATTATGAAAAAGAATTAACAGCTTGGTAAAAGAGGAACCAAAAAAAAATACTAAAGAAAAATAACACCTTAAAAAACAGAATTAGCCTAATGGTAAAAGAGACACAAAAATTCACTGAAGAAAAGAATGCCTTAAAAAGCAGACCAGGCCAAATGGAAAAGAAGGTACAAAAATTCACTAAAGAAAAGAACAGAAAAAACAGAATTGACCAAATAGAAAAAGAGGTACAAAATCTCACTGAAGAAAATAAATCCTTAAAAATTAGAATTTGGCAAATGGAAGCTAGTAATTAAAACAAAGTCAAAAGAATGACAAAATAGAAAATGTGAAATATCTCATTAGAAAAATAGCTGACCTGGAAAATAGATCAAGGAGAGATAATTTAAGAATTATTGGACTATCTGAAAGCCATGACCAAAGAAAGAGCCTTGATATCAAATTTCAAGAAATTATCAAGGAAAACTGCTCCAATATCTTATATCCAGAGGGTAAAATAGAAATTTAGAGGATCCACTAACTACCTCCTGAGAAAGATTCCAAAATGAAAACTTCTAGGAATGTCATAGCCAAATTCCAGAGCTTCCAGGTCAAAGAGAAAATAATTCAAGCAACCAGAAAGAAACAATTCAAATATTGTGGAGCCACAGTCGGGATTACACAAGGTTTAGTGGCTTCCACATTAAAAGAGCAGAGGGCTTGGAATATGATATTCCCAAAGGCAAAGGCAATTGGGGTTAGGTGATTTGCCCAGAGTCGCATAGCTAGTAAGTAGCTAAGGCTGGATTTGAACTTAGGTCCTCCTGATTCCAGGGCCAGTGGTTTATCCACTGTGCCACTTCAATGCCGTTACTTGTTAGATTTTGTTGTGATCCATAATCAAAGGCTTTAGTTAATCAATTAAATACTATTGATTAGAGAAAGGCAAATTAAAACTCTGACTGGTCTCACCTATCAGAAATGCCAAATGCAGGAGGGGTAAGGGAAAAAATAAGTACATTAAAGAATTGTTGGTGGGCTAGCAAATTGGTCCAACTATTCTGGGGAACAATTAGGAACTCTGGCCAAAATATAAAACTGTGCGTACCCTTTGACCTAGCAATACCAGTACTAGGTCTGTTGCCTAAAGAGATCAAAGAAAAAGAAAAAGGATATATATGTACAAAAATATTTATACCAATTCTTTTTGTGATGGCAAAGAATTATAAATCAAGGGGATACTCATCAGTTGGGGCATGGCTGAACAAGTTGTGGCAAAGTATTGTGATGAATTACTATTGTGCTATAAGAAATGATGAGAGGAGTGGTTTCAGAAAAACATGGCAAGACCTATATGAATTGATACAAAGTAAAGTGAGAGGAACTGGGAGATCATTATGCGCAGTAACAGCAATATTTAATGGTGATCAGCTGTGAAAGACTTGGCTACTCTTATCAATACAATTATCTAAGATAATTCCAAAGGGCTCATGATGAAAAAATGTTATCTATCTCCAGAGAGACAACCAATGAACTTTGAGTGCAAATTGAAAGGTAATTTTCTCACTTTCTTTATTTTTCTTGCTTATTTAAAAATGTGGCTAATATGAAAATGTTTGCATGTTTTCACATGGATAATTGATATATCACTTGCTTTCTCAGTGGCTGGGAGATGAAATGGGAGGTAGAGAGAGAATTTAGAATTCAAAATTTAATAAGAAAAAATATTTAAAATAATTAATACATTAGAAAAAAATTAGAGTGGCCCCAGTTAATACCAGTCTTTGATTATATTCTACTGGGGATGGGGAATGGATATGCTATATCTAGATAGATAGCGAGAGAGAGAGAGAGAGAGAGAGAGAGATATAGAAAGAGAGAGAGAGAGAGAGAGAGATGTGGGTGGATGGAAAGATGTAGATATATACATAGGTTTATATTATATAGATATGTATCTTTCATGTATATCTTTATATATATGAAAAAGAGAGAGAGAGTGGAGAGAGACAGAGACAGGGAGCAGGGAAAAAGTATTGATAAGGGAGGTCAGGAAAGCCTTCCCATAGGCAATCAGTGCTTTTCCTTCTTGGGAACACACTATAGTTATTGATTGATAAGCCCATCGCCATCTTGAACTTCCCTAATTGGTCTAGGTAAATCACAGATTTTCTGGAACAGACATTTTCCTGTTCATGATCAATGTCTCTAACATTGCCATGGGAAGGAAGGGGGGGATATTATTGGAATACTTTTAGGGACATGTAAAGTATGTTACTTGGAAGCTTCTAGCTGTACAACTATATGCCTCAAAAAATGTGCTGGACTCAAAATCATGAGACCTGCCTCTGACACTTAGCAGCTTTGTGACCCTTGACAAGTTACCTAAGCTCTCCTAGCCTCAGTCGCCTTACCTATAAAATGAGTATAGCAATACTTGAACTACTTAACTCACAGAATTGTCATGAGAAAAGTCCTTTATAAACTTTAAAGCATTATACAAATGTGAGTTTTCATCATTTTTATTCCTTATTCTCCCCTTCTGTAGACTCTGATGGAAGTAAGACTTGCTATTAAAACCATGACTGTCTCTCTGTCTGTACAGGATCAGCACCCAGTAGGGCTCTCGAGGACCCCAGGCCCTATTCAGCCCCCAGTGGCCCCAGGCTCCAGCAGCATAGTCACTGGTGCCAACCCTGGGGGTCCCAGCTTCCTGGCCACCCAGCCCCAGGCAGCCATCATGAAGCAGATGCTCATCGATCAAAGGGCACAGTTGATGGAGCAGCAGAAGCAGCAGTTTCTGAGAGAGCAAAGGCAGCAGCAGCAGCAGCAGCAGCAGATTCTGGCTGAACAGGTACAGTAACCCAGCCCTGCTTCTCTATTCTCACTGTAAGCAGCCTGGCTCATGCCCTCATTACCCAGCCCACTATAGCAGCCTCCTCCTGCCTGCCTGCACTGCTTAGGGAAAGAAGTACAAATAGGCTTTGGAGTCAAGGTGAGAATGTGAGCTCCTCGAAGACAGGAACTATGTGTTGGCCTCTCTTTGTATCCCTAGCATTTAGCACTGCCTGGCACTATGGCGCCACCTAGCTGCCCTCAACCCTCTTCACTGGCTCCTAAGAAAAATTCAGTCTCACATGGGATTCAAGGTCCACCCTAGCTAGGAACCAACCTACTTTTATAACTTTCTATCATAGCAGTGCTCTACCATATACTCTATTCTTGAGCCAAACTGAAAACAGTTAATTAAGTAACTTCCCCAAGATCACACGAGTTCCATGAACATGCCCCTCTCTTCTTCCCTCTACACATTCTTTCCTTTAAACCTAGAATAGACTTGTTCCTCTTCCTCACCTATTAAATTCCGATCCATCTTTTAAAGCCCAACTCAAAAGCTACTTTCTCTAATACCTCGTGGTCAGTACCAGCCTCTTCTTCTTCTTCTTTGGACTTCTCACATAGCATTTTGTTTTGTGCCATGACAAGGGTACTCAGCTTGTATTAGTTATTGGGTTACAGGTGTCTGTGAATGTCATGTCCTATTAGACTGGCACCTCCACAGCATTCTGGGGAAGTGGGAAGAGTTTGGAGTTTAAAATCTGGTTTCAAACCATCACTCTGCCACTGTGATCTGGTGCAAGTTGTTTTGCCCCTTAAATCTCAGTTTTCTCATCTGTAAAAGGGATGAGAGATTCCACTTGATCTTCCAGCTCTAAATCTTATGAGCTCTTAGTTATATAGATTTAAGAGCTATGAAAGAAGTAGGGTGGCATAGTGGAGAGAGAGCCATCCTTATTATAAACAAGACTAGTGTTCAAGATCTGCCTTTGACAAATATAGACTCTGTAACCCTTGGCAAGTTACTTGTGGACCGAGGAAAACCTCGAAGATGATAAATTGCAAAACATTGGCCAACCTCCATGAGGAGAGGGAGTTTCCTTACCAGAAGCGCCCTATACCAATTGAAAGCACAGGTCCATTTTACAAAGGGGGGGGGGGTCTGTACAGTGCTTTACATCAGATCTAACGTAGTCCTCAAAAATAATCCTATGAAGTAGGTAGAATTATGGTTTCCATTTTGCAGATAAGGACACAGAGACTTAGAGAGGCCAAAGGACTTGTGCAGGATCACACAGCTAATAAATGCTAAGGCAGGATTTGAACCTGGCTCTTCTTGACTCCAGGCCTAACACTGCAGCCACTCCTTTATCATACCACCTCTCAGGACAGACCCTCTTCCTTATTTCAATATTGTATCTCCTCCAACCACGGTGCTTTACACACAGAGATTAATAAATATTTGTTGAATCAATCCTGTTCAACACAGCCCTACTTAGTACCTGTCATGCAAATGTTTGTTTATACTGTGAAATTGATTTGATTTGAAAGGAATTTGAAAAGGCAGATGTGTATATAAATGTATATAGACATTGTGATACCCCATTTGCCAGAGATAGGACCCATCACTTCTCATACTCCCTGCCCCGTCTCCTCTTGTGCCTAAGCATGGTGTTCTAATCAGTGGTTAGCAAAGTGTGGTCTGGGAACCTCTGAGGGTCCACCAGATCAAAGCTATTTTCATACTAATACTAAAACATTAATTTCTGATACAGTAAATATTGATAAATATAACCCCCATGAACAAAAGCTCTTAAGTTGGGGGTCCTCAATAATTTTTAAAAGTATAAAGAGGTCCTGAGGCCAAAAACACTTAAGAGTCACTCTTCTATGTGCTAAGTAGTTGGTGGCTAATTGTTATTTCTTTCCATCAGTAATATTTCTGTCAGTCAATCAACAAACATTTATGAAGTGCCTGTTATGTGCCACACACTGTGCTAAGTGCTAAGGATACAGAGATAGCAAAGAAGACATAGACCAGGGTTTCCCAACATTTTTTTAGTCTTTGCACTCCTTGACTTCCAATAAACTCTCCTGGTCCCCCTGTTCAATATGAAGGGAAATAAATTCTAGCAATTATCATGTACCTGCACCTAAAAATAAAATAGATTAAGTAATTTCATTAGGATAATAGGGTTACTTACCAAATATTCTCTAAGTCATATTAACAAGCTCCTCTTAGCCCTTGGGGATATGTGTACCATGTATCGGGGAGACATGTGCCCTAGTTTGAAAACCCCTGATTTAGACAAAATATGAGGGAAAATATGAGAAGGGAGAAAACCCTTTCAGCTTCAGGGATCAGGGAAGAGGTGGCACCTAAAGTAAGCCTTGACAGAAAAGGAGAATTTCAACAATCAGAAAGCAAGAGACAGCAGGAGGAGGTGAGGGGCATTTGGTAGATTATCCCTTACCTAGACTTTGAGTCTCCCATAGCATGGTGCAATACACACTGTAAGCACTTAACAAATATTTGTTGTTGATTCTGGTCCTTGCTATTTTCCACAAACAGTGGGCAAGTTATTTTTCTTTCAGCCTCCTATTCCTCTTCTACTGATACATCAAGGACACATGGGCACTCCCAGCAATACATCTGTCAATATAGTCTTCCCAAGTTGCCTAAGACTCCTAAAGCTTAAATGATTTGCTCATAGTCATGCAGCTAGTGAGTGTCAGAGGTGCAGTTTGAACCTGATTTCCCTGACTCCAAGTCCAGCACATCACCCACTATCCTACACTCCCTCTATATTCCTCATCCATAAAATAAGAGATAATATATTTATGATACCTACTGTCTAGGATTTTTATAAGGAAAGTACATTATAAACTCTAAATCAGTATAGAAACGAAAGCTTTCCTGATGTGTATGCTCATCTTTTGTTTCTGTTTGTGATTTTGTTTTTGTTCCTGAGTGGCCACGTAATTATCTTCCTTTTTCCAAGGCAGACCAACAGCCTGCCAGCTTAAAAAAAAGACAAACCTTTGTTCTTTTCACCCCACAGTCAGCATGTGACAAGGAGCCACACTAATATCTTTCAGGCAGTGATAAATGATGTGTCTGGGAGGAGGCTGCGCTTTGCAAACCTTTTTTTCCCAGCCTGACTTAGTGACTTTCAGGTTTTGCTGTGGGCCTTCTAAATGTTGGCTTCTGTTCCGTGTATTATTGCTATGACCAAGACATGGAAGGGATAGTCAAGAGAACCCAGAAGAGATTTAGCTGAGCCAGCTCGGGGATATTAGGAAGATGGGGTCCCAATTACCAGCGGTCGTTCAGTCCACAAAGAACCAAGAGGAAATGCACTAAGCTCCTGAGAGGCAAGAAGTTCAACACCATGTATGGGCATTAGAGTAATGAAAATCTGAGAGGGATAGTGACCAAGAGTTAATGGATGAGTTCAGGTTAATTCAGTTTAGGCCACAGAGAGTTAATAAGTGCCTACTATGTGCCAGGCACTGTACAAGGCACCAGGAATACAAAGACAGAAGCAAGACACTAGTGATACAGAGACAGAAGTGAAGCATTCTTGTTGTGGGAGATACAATTTATCCACAAAGAAGTAAAATACAAAGTATTTAATACACAAAGTACTTTTGAGAGGGAGAGAGTGATAATAACTTGTTAATCTTTGCTCACTACATGAGGAGTTGACGGTAGCCCACTATTACAGCTCAGATTGAATCCAGGCCAGCTCTCCCCACCCCCAGTCCCCCATCCACCTTCTGGTTTATCTTCCCAGCAGTGTTATGGAAGCCTACCAATAAGACCTTGTGGGGCGATGTCCCAGCTGGGAACAAATGTATTACCTACTCTCTAGATCAGAGGGTCATATAAGAAGGTACTGCTTAAAAAGCAAGAACACAAATAACTAACATTCCTTTACCCTTAACCATAACAGTTAACAAGCAGAACACCTACTGTGTGCAAGGCATTGTATGGATGATACTGTCATTACTCCTAATAACATTGGAGAGTCTCCTAAATGAGATCCATAATCACTGAAGAGTTCAGCCTGACCATCTACACCAGAAAAACCAAATGGATGAAGAATACATACTTTGTATTTTATTTTTTTATTTGTATTTTATTTCTGTGTAGGTAAGTTGTATCTCCTAGAACAAGAGTGCTTCACTTCTTCTGTCTTTGTATCCCTAGTGCCTCAGTGCCTGGCACAGAGTAGATACTCATTAACTCTTTGAAGCCAGGGTTGAATTAGCCTGAACTCAGAAAAGAACAGACCTCTCATTGTCTAGACCATGAGCGCAGTTGGGTGGAGAACTTCTAGAGCTCATCCATCAGTACGTATATGTTAGACATTTAACAGGGACAATGAGCTGGGCCCAGAGTAGAGAAGGAGAGGAACAGACTACATTGCATATTAGGAAATTCTTTTAAAAACCTTAAGCTTAGTCCTGAAGCAAAAGCCCTTTCTTTTCAATATCAGTGTTCTTCTGATGATATCTGACTGTGAGTCATGAAAATCTAGTTTCCTAAGAATTGGAAGCTGAGGATCACCCAAAAGATAATGCAAAGAGGGTATAAACAGGCTACATCCTATTAAAAATGAGGAATCGTACACAAAGACTGGTGTAAAATATATCAACCCAGAAATGTAATAACCAGAAGAGAAAAAAGAAAGACAAACTAGTCACGTGTGAGTGTGAATTAGGAATCACCTATTCCTCTGGTATCCACATGATATCAAGAGAACTCAAGTAAGGCCCCCAATGTTGGGTGGACCCACTGTGACAGATTTGTGATTAGGCACATATACTCGGTGGCCCTAGATGGGCAGTTATTGTCTGCCTTTCTGGGGAAAGTACATACATCAGCCAGATCACAGGCTTACTAGGACATTGGAACATGTGTCATTGGAGTTTATCTTCCCAAAGTCACACAGGCATTAAGTAGTAGAGCTGGAATTTGAACACAGGATCTTCTGGCTCTCTCTCCAATACTTTTTCCACTATATCACATGACCTTGATTCAAAGTTTTCCATGTCAGAATCACTGGAGGATTTAATTAATTCTGTGTTATTTCTTCTCTCTCCCCTTCCCTCTCCCTGCCCTCTCTGACTCCATTCCCCTCTCTATGCTTCTTCCTGCCCTCTTTCCTTCCAATCCAGCAGTTGCAGCAATCACATTTACCCCGGCAGCATCTCCAGCAGAGGACCCCTTATCCGGTGCAGCAGGTCAATCAGTTTCAAGGTAAGGCCAGAGCCTAGCAGTTTACTATGCTTACCATGCCATCCTAGGAAAGGTGCAGCTATGGAACCAGGGCTGAAAATGCCTTCCGTGTCACATTTTTCCATGTAATAGCCTAGTCATCTTACTGATCAGAGGAGCAAATCCTATCCCATTGTCTCTTTGCTTCCTTGAATTTAGTGCTAGGTATGAGGTAAGAGTTCATGTAACAGAAGGAAAACTCCAACTTGTGACCACCTCTGGTCACTACTAGTTTTAGAGGGTAGGCCGATTATTAAGGTCCAGTTTGAACATCCCAGCCTTGATGGATTTTTTTTTCCAAATCATGACCCTAAAAAGAACAGAGAGAACATTGCTATAACATCCTTCTGTAATTTAGAGGATTGGGTTAGTTTTGAAAGCTGTAGTCTGTCTCCCTGGTACAAATTGCTAAGGGGGTAAAGGAGATGACAATGAGGCCTAAACTGACTCTTCCTCTGTCCTGATTAGGAATTATTGCAATATAACGGGGGGCATCAACAGGGGAAAAGTAGCAGAAATTCTAATGAACTCTTTGCACAACCTGAGAAACATCTAAGTGAAGTCAGGGATACTGATACCTAGCAAGGAGACTGGAGAGCATGTTATACATAAGAGGATTGAGTTGGGGGTGTTTAGCTGGAGAAAGGATGACTTTGGAGGCAGACATTATATGTCCTCAAATATTTGAAAGTGTGTCATGTGAAAGAGAGATTAGATGTGTTCTTCTTGGCCTTAGAACTGGGAGCAAAGGGGGGCATTACCAAGTCAGGCAGCTAGAACTACCCAAAAGAGGAATGAGCTGCCTTGGAGGTATTGATTTCCCCTGTGACTGGAGATCTTCTAATGGAATTTGGGTAAACATTTGTCACAGATATTATCAAATGGCTTCTTTTTCGGGCATGGCTTGGATTAAGGAACCTTCTAAGATCCCTCTTAACTCTGAGATTCTAAGATCCAAGGAACCTCTTTGGCAAAATACCCACATTTCTACTGAGATCTTCTCTGACTCTGTCCTCATCCATCCCTACCTGACCTGCCTGCTCATCACTTTAGGTGCCTTCAGCCTTTACATTTAGAATAGGAAGATTCACTAGGGTTCTAGTCACAGAATCAATTCCAGTACTCTTTGAAGGAGTAACTTTAAAAAAAATGGCACGTCAGTTTTTCATAGCGTTTATTACAAGACAAAGTGTGGTGTATTGGCTAGAGAGCTGACCTTGGAATCAGGAAGACCTTGGTTCCGTCATTGTCCCAAAAAGATACTGGCTGAATGACCTCTCATAGATCATTTAACCTCTTGGTGCTCTAGGCAGCAGTTTTCTAAGATTATAAGTTGCAGAGAGGATGCTGACCAACATTTCCTCATGGATAATTCCCTACGCCAATGAGATCACAGGTCTAGTCCCTATCTATTCAGAATACAGTCCCTAGAGTCCCTCCTCCCCTACCACTCTCACACACTTATTCCTTGTTAGACTGTATTTCAAGGGGACAATGATATGGATCTATGATTTCATCAATGTAATGAATTCCTTGGGGTAGATTCATGAAGAAATAGAAAGGTTGAGTAACTTGGCCTTGGTCACATAGCCAGTATGTGGTCAGAGGCCTATCGTCTTGACCCAAGTCTGTCCGTCTTCCCACTACACTGTGCTGCCTCTCAGATTCTATTAAAGAGAGAAAATAATCTGATTAAGCCTGTAGTCCGTTCTGAGCTGTTTTTAAGGTATGCCACACATTCTTTCCTGATCTCATTGGGTGGCCAACCAACATTTGGCAACCTGCTGGTAGGCTTAATGTTCTTCTCTTTTGGAAATGTCCCTTAAAGGACTTTCTTTTCTCCCTGTACTTCTGGTTCAGGGTCTTTAAACTCACCTCTTTGCACCTTTCTGTAATCCCAAATCACATATGAAGAATATGTAGCAAAACTCTACGTGGACTTAAAAGGCAAGAAAATCTTAGGATATTTTGCTTGATGCAAGACTATATGGTACGTCTTTTAGTATTTTCCATATTTTTTATGTCCTTGACAAACACTGCTGCTATGCTGATATTACACATCTGGGAGAATATCAGATTGATAGATAAAGAAACATTGTCCTTCCTGAGAAGGCCTGTCAGAAATAGCTCCCAGACTGTTCCTCCTCCATACTTTTAACACTCTTCTTTTCAAAGGACCTAATGACTGTCTTTCTCTCTCTTATTGAGTCCCATGCCTCTCGGCAGTGTTATATGCCCATGGGGAAATGGTTATTTTTCACAAATATGAACTCCTCCCGGAGGGAAGATAGAACAGAGGCCTTTTAGGAAACAACTGACATGTTCTTGACTCTGGCTGAATATGGAAGAATTGGCTTTGACATTGGGCTATTAGCCAGAAAACAATAAAATTAAATCGACCACAATTTTTCAGAATAGCACCTGCGTGTTCAACTATAAAAGAGGACCGTTGCCCAACATACATCCTAATAAAATGAAGAATAAAGCTAATCTTTGGAGGGACATTTTCTTTAAGCTCATTTTCTCTGAACATTTAAAATTACTATGGGCATACAACAAGAATAATAAATAATTCTAATTTCTTTTCATGGGCAAATATGCAACTGATTTAAAAATAACATTTCTTCTACATGTAGATAGTGCAATTAATTATGCTACATTTTAAAAAATAGAAGTTGGTTAGGACTGAGATTCTAAGACCCATTGAAGAGCTTTCTAGATTTGCAGTATTCTAAGGATGCTACCCTGAATTGGTTAAAAACAACTGATCTTAAATTGCACACAGTTAGTAATGGGGCTTGAATTGCACAAAATCAGTAGGCACTAGAAAAGTATCCTTGCTAATGGCCTTGCTTCTCCATTACAAAGCCTTGAGGTAGGCCCTTGCATCTGTCTCTAGTACAATCACCCCATATTTATCCAAAGTAGGTCTATGAATCAGCCACAGAATGATGGGCAGGATGGACCATTTTGTTTTTTCGGTCAGTTTGGGATTTTTCAGCCATCTCAATGACCCATTTGTTCCCAGTTAATCAAATTGTCCATGTGGTTGGCCCAGTTCCCACTGTCCATATCATAAGCCTTCATGGGGAAATAATTAGACCAGACCTGTGAGAGCCAGCGTGCTGTAGTCAGCAAGGTTCAAACCTTGGATTCTGAGAGTCCTGCCTTTAAGTTTTATCTCTGGTTCATACTGAACTTACGACCCTAGGCAGGTCACTTAATCTTGCCCCCAGGAAACTCTTTTAAGGCTCTAAATTACTGAATATTTATTGATCTGCATTAATGGAGAGTTTCTAACCTATGAGTACCCTATACTAAAGTTTTGCAGCCTGACCCAGATGAAAATATATTGGGGAAACATTTAGCAAAATAAATAAAAACAATACAACATAGATAATGTTAATTTGTGGTTTTCTAGGTAAACCTGGGCTAGCAGAGATCTGTTTCTATTTGAGTTTGACACCACTGCCCTACACTGAAGAAAAATGAGGAAATATGTGACAGTGTTTTGTATATGTTCTTTTATTTGAGTTTTGATAGGCATTATTATCCCTGTTTTTTAAATGAAGAAATTGATACTCAGAAAGTTTGTTGTCAGAGCTGCTCAAACTCCCACAATAATTAGATGTCAGAGATGGGATTTGAACTCCCACCTTCCTGACTAGTTGAGCACTCTTTGCACAATGCCACCATGCATGCCTCTTAATATACCACACCAGAGTTGCAATACATAGTGTCACCTGGTGTTGGAACAGAAACCCTTAGTTTGCTCTAACATTTTACTTAATTCATTGATGCCTAAAGGTGAAAATAATTGTTAAGGCTCTTACCTGAGCTCAGTCAGATATTACTCCCAGAATCCTTTTCATTGCTCAGTTCAGAATGATATTGACTCACCAAGTCAAATAAACATGAGTCATGATAAAAATTCCTATAATTGTGTCTCTTAAATAAAACTAGTAAGTATGGAAATATATTTGTTGTCCAGAAATCAATAAAACAAAAACCCACTCCCCCTCTCTGTCAAAGTTCTGGATTTCAAGGTTAGACTATCCTCATTTGGTTTCTCATCACTGTTCCGAGGTGGGATAAAATTTACTTATTGTATCGATTGGCTCAGAGAATGCATTTTCTTTAAATGGGCAGGAAAAACAATTTTTCTTTTTCTCATAGACTTAATCAGTAGCAAGGACATAGAAAAATTCGTTGGTATTTCCCTCCCAAGCTATTAAAAGATTGGTCCCTTGAACCCATCATCCCTATTGTCTCTTTGTTTGAAAACTTCCTGGAACCCAGAAAGAAGGGCACCCATGTGGTTCATTTGGGCTACATGACTTGGGATCAATATTTGAGTCCAGCTTTGTTATAGATCTCTGCATCATTAAAACCACATTAGAGAGCTACAGAGAAGCAGTCATCCCTTATCTAAGCAGTGGGCTGAGCCAGAGCAGAACATCTGGGAAGTCGCAGAGTGAGTGAGGAACATTTTGGTAGTTCAGGCTCTTGACCACATTGCTCTGACACATGAAGAGGCAGCAAGTCAAGGATGTGGAAACCCTGCAAGGGTGCCCCTAAATTCCTGTAGGTCAGAGGAGCCTCTTAGAAAACAAGAAAGGGTGAACTTTAACCCCTGCAAAACTGTTGAGGTCTTAAGGGAAATTAGTTTAATGGTCTTTATTGATAGTATTCTCTGCTGAACCATGTTCCACCTCACAAATTGAATACGTAATATGATCAGCAGCTCCCACGTAAGGTAGCTTGGGAGATGAATGAGTTCTTGCTTCCAGATTTCTTGGTGAGGGAAAAAACACATTACATTATCAGTGCTAATGAAAATATGGTCAGGGCATTGATCCTTTCACAAAAAAGAATGTCCTCATGCTAAAAGTTAAATCCATGGTCTTCCTAGGAAATCAAAGATTTCTAGGAATAAATTCATTCATTCATTCATTCATTCATTCATTCAATAAGCAATTATTTAGTTCCCACTATGGACCAGGCACTGACAAAACAAAAAGACCAAAACCAAAGAACTAGCCCCCATCCTCAAGGAGCTTACATTCTACTGGGGTGCGAGAGGGGGATGGAGGGAAGAAGGAGAAGCAACTACACTAATAAGTAAATGTAGATGTATTGTCCCATTCTTATAGAAAATGTCTTAGAAGACATTTATTTACTGAAAGGAGTAGAAAGAGGATATTTGCGTGAGAAATACAGAGGAAAGCAGCTTGAAGATTGATATCAGCAGTTCTGAAGGAAGCTGAGAGAAAAGCAGCCCCTCAGACAAAACTGCTTAAGGAGAGACAAAGAGAGTTCTGAGAGGACCTGAGTGAAAGCAGCCCCCTCAGATGTAAAAGTACTGACTTATGGCTGCACTACATTATTTCCTAGGAGCTAATTTATATATGACTCTTTTCAGGACTTGGAAGTTTATTACAGGAAAATGGAATCAAAGAACGGTTTAGGGCCTATGGAACGATTGTATATTGACTTTATGTTGTCTGTATACATAGATATATAAATAAATTAATGCATGGGAGGGGTAAGGCCAGGTAGGAGAACACTAACAACTAGAGCATCAGAAAATTACTTGAGTAGGAGGAGGTGGTGCTTGTACTGAACTTTGGAAGAAAACAGGGATTCTAAGAGGCAGAGATGAGAAGGAAATGTATTCTAAGCCATAAATGACTTATTCTCTCAGCCTGCTTGGCTTTGGCTTGGCTTTGGTTTTCTCTGAGGAAAAAAAATGAGTGGTGTGGTCTTTTTCTTTCCTTGCAGGCTCTCCCCAGGATATAGCAGCTGTGAGAAACCAGGCAGCTCTCCAGAACATGAGAGCTTCCCGGATGATGGCCCAGAGCACAGGCATGATGGGAATGGGACCTTCCCAGAACCCTGGGGCCATGCCCTCTGCAGCAGCTCAGTCTGAGCTTGGAATGGCCCCTTACAGCAACACCTCCACCAGCCAACCAGGAATGTACAACATGAGTGTGGGGATGAGCCAGATGCTACAGCACCCAAACCAAAGTGGCATGGGCATGACCCACAGCCAGGCCCAAGGCCCGAGGCAGCCTGCAGCCGCTCAAGGAGTTGGTATGGTGAGTGGCTTTAGCCAGAGCATGCTGGTGAACTCAAGCATCCCCCAACAACATCAGCAGATGAAAGGACCTGTAGGACAGGCCTTACCCAGGCCCCAAGGCCCTCCAAGACTTCAGAGCATTATGGGAACTGTCCAACAAGGAGCACAAAACTGGCAGCAGAGGAGCTTACAGGGTATGCCTGGGAGGACTAGTGGAGAGCTAGGTCCATTCAACAATGGTACCGCTTACCCCATGCAGGCTGGACAGCCCAGGCTGACCAAGCAACATTTCCCACAGGGGATGGGCCAGTCGGTCGTGGACACCACTGGCACCGTGAGAGCTCTCAACCCAACAGCCATGGGTCGGCAGATAATGTCATCCCTTCCTGGGCAACAAGGGAACAACCAGGCAAGACAAATGGTTATACCTGGCATGAGCCAGGGTGTCCCTGGCATGCCAGGATTTAGCCAGCCTCCTACCCAGCAGCCGATGCAAAGTGGCAACTTTGCCCCAAGCAGCCAGGGCCAGGCTTATGACCGGAATCCATCTCAGGATATACCTTATAATTACAGCAGTGAAGGAGCTGGGGGTTCTTTCCCCAGCCTAACAGAGGGTGCTGACCTGGTGGACTCCATCATCAAAGGTGGGCCAGGGGAAGAATGGATGCAAGAGCTTGATGAGTTATTTGGCAATCCCTAGTCACAGGGGGCCCTGAGAGCCAAAACTCCAGTGGTTAAAGTTTAAAGAGAAAAAAAAAAGGAAACAGGATGTTATCCCATCCTTGTTTTTTATTTTTTTTTTTAATCTGTGCAAATTGAGCTGAACTGTAGCAGGCAGATGGTGGAAGTTAACGGTGGCAATTTCCAGCCACCGGAGGCCACATTTTGCAAAACTTCCACATACAGCAATCTCAACTCCATGGCACATGCCTACTGGGTGTGAGAGAGACAGACAAAGGGACAGGCTGGGGAAAGAATCCATACCAGCCTGTGGCCCCAGGGGACAACCCTTCCCCTGATCCCAGGGCCTACTATGTGGGATGAGTTGCCGGTCCCCATGGGCCGAGAAGGACTGCTATCCAAAGTCAAGGAGTCCCCTGGTCTGTCCAGCCCCAGGTCTTCTTAGGCCACCAGAAAAGACAGATCCTCAGGCCATGGGGAGGAACACCTTCCCACCAAAGCTGCTGGGTGATTGCACAGGCCAGGCACTGATGGATCAGAATTGTGCTGAACTCTGGGCGGAAACAATTCCAGGCTTAAAGACATGCTACTGTATTGGGAGGGTGGACAGAAAGACCAGTGATGGCTTCCTTGGGAGTCTCCAAGACTGCCCAGAGGCCCACTCCCTGTCCCCATGATGAACCCCAAGAATCCTAGAGGCATTGCTGCCTGATGCTGCCCAAAGATAGCCAGGTGAGTTTGGAGGAGGAGCATAAATCAGGCGATACAAAGAAAAGAGGCCCTTGGAAGATGAGTCAATCACTGTCATGACAAGTGGTCATGGCCACTGTTTGGTAGTGCTTCCTAAGCTTCCCAAGTACAGTGCTTATAAATCTAGAGAGTTTTTCACATTTGTCCTTCCAACAGTGTAGCATCTAAAGAGGGGGGTGATGGACAGACATCCACTGGACTCCGGAGATGTCATTCAGGCCCATTTCCTACCCCCCTGGCCCTACTTTTGCTTCTGCTTCTGCTCCCTACCCCCAACCCTGACTCCAACAGCCTAATTCATACAGCTTTTTCTTACCAGTATCCCAAATGAAGCTACTTCCTTTAACTGAGCCTAGTTGTGGCTAAAATGAATGACAGAAGGAATTCTGCTATGCCAGATATTGGAAAGGGACTCTGGCATTTCCTGCCTCTAAAGTGTGTGAAAGTTACCAGTATTACCTGCTTGGACCATGAAAGTGTCTTCTATTGGTTGGTAGTACTTGTAGGATACGGGCCCTGCATATCTGACATCCCTAAATGGGGCTGGACCTTCAAGACGATAATTCTGGTCCTCTCAGGTCAGTTTACCCGTGACCCTTTGGTGAAGGTTGTCCTCTGGGGGAAAAGTGACCCCCAATATCATATTCTGCCAATGACATTTCTTCCTTGGCAGATTAAATGCAAATTTTCTGAGAGTTTAGGAGGCAGAAGTCAACTGGTACATCTGGCAAAATTTGTTTTTAGAAAGGGGGTGTGGTCCCTGTCACTTGAACTAAATACTCCCAGGCATTTAATCTATCCTACATAATTCTCCCAATCTGACCCTGTCCAAAGGCACCAACAATTTAGCTAATGTGTGTTCCTTTATTTCTTGCCAATTCCCCTGCTACCCCTCCTACCATTTCATCATGGGGACCACATGTCCTAAGTCTAGATAGAACAAGGCAAGGAGAAAAGTTAGTAAAAGAATCTTTAGTCTTTGGTCCTGATGACGTTGGGTCAATCCTAAGCATGTACTCTTAGCTCACCCAGAGCCAGAGCCAACAGCATTTAAACCCACAGAGACCTGTGGAGAAAGAGAAGTGTAGACTGACCTAAGCTGGGAGGAATTCGAAAGAAAAAGAGTTTGAGTTGAAGAGTAGGGTAGGAGGAGATGAGCTGCCAAACCCTGCCCTTAGCTTGCCCCCTAGAAAGGAACCAGTGCATGAATCCGCACACAGCAAGAGAGAGGATGCAAAGCTAGTGGTGGCACCATGTTGGTGAGAGGGATGTGGCAGGAGCTGTTCTGGTTCTCCCAGGAGGGCCCTGCAGGACTGGACATGAGATCCCTGAAGGTTAAGCCGCATTACCAGGGAAACTAAGAATTGAAATAGATGAAAACCAAAAAGAAAACAAACGAACACACAAAAAGAAACAACAAAGTTATGAAAGGAAAGGAGGAAGAACACAAAACATCCACCTATTTCTGAGAGGTACAGGAAGCCAACGAATATGCTGATGTCAGAAAGCTCGAAGTGAGTGATGGAGACAGAGGCTCTATTATCTTGGTAAAGCTTCCTCTGAATACTCTGTACTGGGACCAACAAAACAAGAGGTAGATTTTAATTATTTTTTTTTTTACTACGGTGCTGATGTATATGTAATGTCTAAAAAAAGTTATTTGTAAATATGTTTTTACAATCCTGCAAATATCACTGGGTCTACTATCTGTAAAATATATACATATGAATATATATATACTGTTTGTTTAAAATAGAGTATTTTTATTTCATTCCTTAATTCATCATCACTGCAATGGCATTACACTTCAGACTACATCTGATTACTAATTTGTACTGTATTACCTGATGGCAACTGGCTCCATTCTATTCAGATTTTTCTAGTTTTCTGTTTTTACCTTGTACATTGAGCACTGCATATTTCCTTCCAAGAACTGTACAGAACTCTGAAATGTAGAGTTGAAGTGATGTTGGCAGACCACTTTTAAAGAAAAAGGCAAATAAAAGATTGTTACCTGAACCAACTCAAAGTGTCTTTTCTCGGAATGAGAACAATTTCCATTTCTGTAGCCCCTTAAGGTTTCCAAAATGCTTTCCTCACAACTACCCCTGAAGGTAGAGAGCAAAAGGATCATTCACCCCCATTTTACCGATTGGGAAAGTCAATGAGCAAATATGGCGAGGTGAGAAGGCAATAGCAAGGGAAAACCAGCAACCAGCCCATGTGCTGCAATGGTAATCTTGCCATGCTAGTCCTGCCACTTGTTACCTGGGTGACCTGGAGCAAGCTTTGGAAAGGCAACATGATGTAGTGGATTGAAATTGGGAACACCTGGGTTCAAATCCCACACCTGACATTCAGTAGCTGTACGACCCTGGACAATTCACTTAACTGTCTCAGTTTTTCCTTATCTGTAAAATAAGCAGGTTAAATTAGGTGGCCTCGAAGTTCTGAATCTATGGTCCAATGATATCAACAGATAGCAAAGAAGGGCCCCAGCAGTTGGAGGGGGAGTATATAGGAGGACACTCAAAAGAATCCCATTGGGTTAAAAGGCATAAATTGGGGACGTTTGGTACCGCTGAAGACTTCCATTGGTAAAGTCCTAGAGCTACGTAAGTATTTCTCAATGAGGATATCCAGGTTCAGGATAGTAATATGATTCCTCTAACATCAAAATAATAATACCCAATAAGTGTCAAAGCCAGGATTTTCACTTGGGATTCCAACTTTCCAAGTTGGAAAACAGAGATCTTGCCCTCGATCTTGGTGGGCTTTGACTTGGGAGACACACGATTTAACTGGTTCAATGACTCTCTTCCCAAAAGTCACTGGAGACGATGAAGGTTGTACTCTCAAATTTCTTCTGGATCATTATTTAAATACTTATCAGGCAGTCTGGTAACAATGGTTCCCAAACCTTGTAATTCCAATATGAATTTTTACATTTCTAAATTTTCTCCAGCACTCTCTAAAGGAACCATCATTATTGGGGGCAGGATGAGGGAAGAGGGGAAAGTAGCCAGAACAGTAAGACTCACACTTAAGGCAAGTTGCATGAAGCACAACCATAGTTGAAGAGGGGAACACTATCCTTTAAAGCAAAGACAAAGATCCTGGGATAACATCTGCAGAAGGCTGCTATGGAGGAAGAACTCACCCCAGCCCATTATCTTGTAGATTCCTGTTTTAACCAGATTAATACATATTTGGTGAAAAATGACATTATTATACACTGGGCAAATAGAATATTTTTGCTCCTCAAAGAGATTTCCCATATGCTGTCTTATTTGTCTTCAGAGAATCCCAGGGAAATATATTTAAACCAGCACGTCTGATTTCATGGGGCATCTGCCTCTGTGTGAAGGAGGCACTTCATTTGTCAATAGGCCAACTGCTATTTTAAATGATCATGACAAAGTTTTTCTGCTCTGGTATGTCGTGTGTGCTGGGCCACTAATAGGAATTCACCACTCTTTGCAAAAGATGCTGGAAAAGGTTCTCTCAGCCAAGCCCTGGGGAAGGGCAGTGAGAAACTGTGGGCCTGTAACTACACCACATGCCCCTTTTCTAAGCCCCAAACCAGCAGGCCAATGAATGGGGCCCTAGAGGCCAGCACTGGGCCCTTGGCCCTCTTTTATGCTTCTGATGCCACTTTCTAGTTCTTTGGGTTGGTTGGTTGGTTGGTTGGTTTTGCATCTCTTTTCATCACTCAAGTGACAGGCTCAGTCAGTGGTGCTGCGTAGGTGCGATGCCACAACTATCATTCTCCTCTTCTTCTTTTGACAGAAGAGATCACAGAAGCCACTCCAGATTGAATCTCTGAGCTTCTCCTCCCCAGGTTTTCATATGGAGAAAGGCTCTGTCATAGAGTTCTGAAGCCACATGAAGGGTCCAGACACACATCAATACAATCATCTGATTACCTTGAAGATCTGCTCTGAAATCTGGTCATGTTCTCTTGGAACAATGGATTTTTCATTTAGGAGAGAATAGAAAACAAATTAGGGGAAAAAAAGAACAATTCTTTTGTTTGATGCTTGCAACTTTTTAACTTTGTAAATGACCCAAACAAGTGATATTTTTGTGTCTTTTGCAGAGAGAAATATATTCATTCTTAATGAAAAAAATACCATACACTTTCAAACCAGGGGTTATATATTCCTAAAAACAAGATAAAGATAGCTCTTTAAAGCATACCCCAAATTAGAGGAACACAAATTCATAAAATCAAAACTTTCACTGGTTCCCCATTGCTCACTAAACAAAAATTATAAATCCTGATTCAGGCATTCAAGGCTCTTCATAATATGGATGTAGCCTACCAGTTCCATCTTCTGCAAATCCCATTGCGGTTTAGTAGTGAGAGAACTGGCCTGAGTCAGGAAGACCATGGCTGCAAGTCCTAACCCTTGATAACATGGACAAGGTGCTTAACTTCTAAACCTCTCAGTGCCCTAGGCACTGAGGCATCAAATTTCTTTCCAATAACCCTAGGAGGTAAATACTGCCTCCCTAATATGCAGACAAGAGAACTGGGGCTCAGAGAGATTAAGTAACCTCATGGTCAGAGCCGGAATTAAAAGCCAAGTCTTCCCTGACACCAGATCCTACACCCTTTCCCCTACTTCCCCAAGTCTTACTAATAACAGGCTCATCTGACTAGAGGAGGGAGAAAGGAATAAGCATTTACCAAGTGCCTACTATGTTAGCTTAATAATAATAATAATAGTACCCATTGTGCTAAGCACTTTACAAATTATATCTCATTTGATCCTCACAACAGCCCTATGAGGTAGGTGCTATTACTATCACCATTTTACAGATGAGTAAACTGAGTTTAACAGTTAACTGACATGAGCAGGGTCACCACTGGGGTCAAATTTGAACTCAGGTCTTCCTGATTCTAGGTCCAGCACACTGTCCACTTAGCTGCCCTTGAGAGAATTTGTATGCTTTGACTTGATATACTTGGAAATACTATTAAATGATGTATGCATTTTCATTTCTTTCAATGATTTTCTCTAACCCCTCTATTCCTTTTTGCACCAACTGAAAAGAAAAGCTATAATGGCATCTCAAAAAACATTAACTGAAAATTGGAAGGGACCTTAGATGTAATGTAATCCAAATCCCTCATTTTGCAAATAAAGAAACTGAGTCCTAGAGAGGGGAAATTACTTGTCCTGCATCACACAGGTAGTAAGTGGCAGAATGATTTGAACCCAGATCCTTTAAATACAAATCTGGGGCTCTTTCCATTGTACAGGGACCATTCCAAATTCAAAACCACTCACACTGATTCAAAATGTACAGGAGAAGTTTGATGGCGAACTCTTTTTCAATCATTCAGTTCTGATGTTTAAATGCTGTTTATGTATATGACACCTTCGAGCTAGAGATCTCCTAGGCAGGTAAGGTGCTTTTCCCATTTCACAGCTGGGCACAGTGAAAGAATGTAAGTCACACGAGGTCGGATAGTAAAATTGATGTACACTCATGAAGAGGCCTCCATTGCCTCAATTCACCAACTAGCCAGTGGGCATCCACCAGGATCCTCACTGGTTAGGAATCTGGATTTGCTTTCCTTTGGTTGAAGATGGAGGTAATGTTCTCTGTATTCAGTTCTCTAGGTCAGGGGGTGGGGAACCTGCTGCCTCAAGGCTGTAGGTAGATATTGGGAAGTGAGTTGTTAGGCCCTTTCTTTTTTAGCTAAAGTATATTTTCTCAGCCAAGTTTGTTTTGTACTATTAGGGGTTGACTCTTTGCCCTGACTACTTGGGAGTATCTGCTTAATCTCCCCCATGTGCCAGCCATCTGTGCCTTTCCACCAGTAATGAAAGAGGCTTAACTGCCCAGTTCCATATGTCAGGAACTTTTCTTCAGGAGGAGAAATACACACACACACACACACACACACACACAAAACACAATACAACACAACATCACACAATAGAGGAAGCATCTGGTGACAAACGATGTTATTTATATGATTCTCACCAATGCAAGCATGTTGTCCTTCAGCAACAGTTTCTTTAAAAACAAAACAAAACACAAACAAGGTATTTGTTTTTAGGATTTTTAACTCCATCATATATATGCAAGGACAAATAATAGTTTATAGAAAATTAAGCAAGTAATACATTCTGGAAAGGGAACATTTTTCCAAAGTCATCTCAAGAAAACCAAAATAGAGATGAACTGTCTGGGTCTCAGTTTCCTCCTACTGTAATATGGAGTTGGGCTGAATGATTTCTCAGTATTATCATTCTATGATTCAGTCCAAACATGGGAACTTTGATTTCATATGTTTTTGGTCTATCTCCGGGGGTGGGGAAAAAAAAACTTGATATTATTAAAAGGGAGAAAAATTTCTACAACAATCGATGTAATTTCTTGAAAATATTGAAGTCCATGTATTCATCCAGAAAGTTGTTGGCAATTCCCACTGTAGCCTGGATGATCAGCAAAGCCAAAACTCCCGCACTCCTCTGGAAGCCTATTTTCCTGTTTATAAGGAGACAGAGAGGGAGAGAAATGCCAAATACAGTGGTGAAGAACCATAACTAAGGTTGAACAACCAAGGCTTCATTCAGGGTGCAAATTTAGAAAGTGCTAAAAGCACCTGCAATCTTTCCAAAGAAAAAGCAATAGAGCTAGTATCTAGTTAGCAAGAAGAATGAGTTCGAATAGTAAGCCGCCTGATAGCCTACTTCCTTAACATGGCCACAGCCCAGATGAGCTTCCCCGCCCTTATCTGGGCCCCATAATTCAACTTCCCCTCATTCTGCTTGGCAGCCTCCCCAAAAGAGAACTCGGTGTCACAAGGTCTCTTCCTATGGGAGCAAAGGTCACTACTTGAGGGTACATTTCATGTTGTTTGCCCTGGGACCAGTTTCTGCTGCCCTGGGTGTAAAAACTCCCAGTTTCAGCTCTGCGGTATGGAAACTAGCTGATACATATGGCTTTAGGTCCCACCAGAAGCCCAGTCTGATTCGTTGAGGACAATGCCACAGCTTTTATGTTCCTTGTTTCGCTATATAAATTGAAGAGGGAACCTGTCTGCAAAGGTTGATTGGTTACTTCAGGCATTCAAAGGATTATCATGACCTATGTATGATTATTGGCAACTTTTGGAAGACCACAAGGGACTTTTGCTAGGTTTAGAAGCACAACAGGCTAAGAGATGAGAGAGGGTCAATATTTGTACTTGAGGCCTCCTCCCAAATCCTCTTGATTTATTCTTATGCTTTTCTACCCCAATCCTAGCAGGGCAAGTCAACAAGACAATAGTATTTGACCTGGCAAAACAGACTTGTTTCACATAGGAGAAATTCATTTGTACCCCTGAGTAATATAAGCCAAGTTGGAGCCTATAATCCACTGCTGAAGGTGTTTTTCACTACCTAGCAACAGGAAATTGGCCCAACTGGTTCCCTGAAGCTTTCTGCAACTATCCACAAGGCAGGTTCAGGTCTCTTACCTTTCTTGAGCTGACTCTGAATATCCAAAGAAGTATTGGTGACGAGCATACAGGTATGCCAGGCCACAAAGGGCAGCTAAGACTGAGAGGGGGGAATCAGAGGGCAGAAAGGTTATGACATCTTGAAACTGGGTATAATTTTACCCTTAATTTCATCAATCTTCCAAAACAATTCACATCCTAATAATAACCTTCCTTCCTTCCCCATTTCCTTCTTTCTTTCCTTCCCTCCTTCCTTCCTTCTGCTTCCTCCCCCCCTTTCTTTTTTTCTTTCTTTTCCTACTTTTTCTTCGTTCCTATTAACATCATATTTGTTTCTCTAGATGATGAGTATTTCTTTGGGGGATTTTTTTTCTTTTTAAAAGTTGTTCAATGGTTCAATGGGGGGGGCAGTGGGAGGGTGAGAAAATAAATGCTTATAATAATTAAGAGAGAAACAAATCCCCTCATTGGTCATACCCCAAACTCATTCTGCATTTTAACTTGGATGGCCTCAATTTCCCAGCAACCCTGAGGATTTACAGAACACTCTGGCTAATTAACATTTTGGATTCTGGATCTGTTAACCCTCAACTTTCAAAGTGAAGGAAAAAACTTGTCCACAGTTCTATCAGCCTGAAAGGAGGCATTGGGAAGAAAAAAAATGAGTCTAGTAAAACTGAAGGACTGGAAACACAGGAAACTTGATGTCAACTTGGAAAATTTGTGATCAATCGACATGAATGTTTTGAGTACCAGCTCTCAGCTAGGCATTGAACTAGACACTGGCACTGGGGATGTAAGCACAAAGAATGGAACACTGGCTACCCGAAAGATTCTTGTATCCTAATGGAGGACAGAAGAAGTATAGACACAGGATAAAAATGTGTTCAAAGGGGTGGCTAGGTTGGACAGTGGTTAGAGCACCAGCCCTGAAGTCAGGAGGACCTGAGTTCAAATCCGGCCTCAGACCAAACACTTGACACTTACTAGCTGTGTGACCGTGGGCAAGTCACTTAACCCCAATTACCTTTAAAAAAAAAAGAGCTCAAAGAAGAAACGGCCCAATTTGCTTTGTCAACAGTTAATATTTATTCCTATTTACTCTTCTGGTTGTTGTTATTCAGAAATGCTATTTTGTCAGATGGAATAGCCTTTTTCATTTAAGTCTCCGGAGACAACAGGGTGAGTGAAGGTTAAAGGAAAGTATTTCTATGAAATGAATTGCATGTAAAGCTCATTAGTTGTGAGGAAAATCATAAGCAAGTGATAATAATAAATGACACTTACGGAGTGCACTGAGATTTGCAAAGTGTTTAAATACTTTCCCAACTGATGTGCATATGAGGCACATGCTAGGTGGCCCAATGGATGGAGCACTGGGCCTGGAGTGAGGAAGACTTGAGTTCAAATCCAGCCTCTGACACTTCCTAACTATGGGACTCTGGTCAAATCACTTAACCCTGTTTGCCTTAGTTCCTCATCTGTAAAATGAGCTGGAGAAGGAAATGGCAAAACACTCCAGGATCTATGCCCCAAAAAACCCAAATGGGGTCACAAAGAGTTGGACACAATTGAAATGAGTGAACAAGGACAGAAAAAGATTACCCATAGGTCAGTCCTGAATGCAGCATCCAAAACTATCCAAAATAAAGGTGAATGAAGTCCTCTAGGATGGAGGATTTGCCCCAACTGATGGTCAGCCTGTGTCACCATTAACTAGACCAGGCAGTAAGTCTGCCTAGAGGTAAATCAGGTGTTCCCAGGTAAAGCAGTACATCTGGCCCACCCTTGCTGCTCACTAATGACTCTGGGTTTGCCTTGCCATCATAGTGGCAGACAGAGCTTCCTGGTAGAAGCTTTGGTTCTCTGAGATGCCCCTAGCAAGGCCACCACTGTAAAGCTGATATGGACATGTAATCAATCACTCTATGTCTTTTGTCACTTGCTATCCCTAGCTTATTTCCAGTCACGCTGTAGGTGCTACCTCCTATGCTAAGCCTTTTCTAACCCTGCATCGATTGTTAACATTCTCTCCCTCTTAAAACTACTTTGTGTTATTTTGTGTGTTTTGCCATTTCCTTCTCCAGCTCATTTTCCAGATGAGAAAACTGAGGCAAACAAGATTGTGACTTGCTGAGCATCACACAGCTAATAAGTGTCTGAGGCTGAATTTGAACTCATAAAGATAAGTCTTCCTGATTCCCAGTGTAGTCCTCTATCCACTGTGCCACCCAGCTGTTCTGCCTGGTACATAGTGAGTGCTTAATAAACGCTTTAGTTAATCTAATCTGTGTACATGTCTTCCAAGAAAAATGTAAAGTCTTGAGGGCAGGGACTGTCTCATTCTGCCTAGCGCATTGTCTGGTACACAGTGGGTGCTCTTTTTTTAATTAGGGAAAAAAAAATAAAATCAATCCAAGAAAATTATGGGGAAAAAAAATTAACCAATTGGAAAAAGAGATACAAAATCTTGCAGAAGAAAATATTTTCTTGAAAACTAGAATTGGGCAAGAGGAATGGAATGACATTATAAGACATCAAGAAATAATAAATCTAGAAAAATAGAAGAGAATCTGAAACATATCAATAGGTGCTTAATAAATGTTAATTGAGTTCAATTAAATTAAGAACATTTATGAAAAGAAGTCACACACAAGGTACCTGCAGCCTATACTCTATTTTAGAGACCTCAGTTTTCTAGATACAATTCCAGATGTTCATTATCTAACCTTAATGTGCAAGAGAACAATCTGTCACCAGTGAAATCTGTCCTTGCAGTTCGGACAAACTAGAGCAAATTCTCAGTATCTCATGGCACATGGAAGCAGGGAAAAAATTGTTCCTCGTTTTGTTGGAAGTCATTTTAATGATTTCCAGGAGGTGAAAATGAATAACTGTATGATGATTCCAAAAGGTTATAAAATACCACAGCCATCATTTAGGCAGAAATATCACCATAGTTTTAATTTACCTTGGTTGAAGAACCATCCAGCCATCCAGAAGGTGACCAGGTAGATGGGGTAAAACTCCACGGAGTTTTGTCTGCAGACAGGGAAAAAAAACTGCAGGTTATTTGTGAGGCAACCAGAGGGCACCAATGAAAATGGCTTCTTTTGCAGATAAATGTCCCGTTTGTCCCTGCAGAAGTAATGGGAGTTATGAAACAAAGGAAGACTCTTTATCCTGAATCTAAGCAATGTCTGAGCTTTTCCAGGAGAGAATTCAAGGATGTTTTCCAGAAACCACTTACCACCTTTTTCTGCTAAGTCCTTGTCTGAAGCTTCAATGTGGCTAGGAGGTGACCCTTGGTTCTCAAAAGCTATGCCAGTAGAGTATGGGCTGTGGAGGATTTAACCAACCTGAATAAGCCTGGAATGCAGATCCACTGATGGACTACGGGAGCTATATCTTAGAAGAGAAATAGCCCAGCTAAGTTCAGAGAAGATTATCACCAGAAAAATAGCAACTCAGTAATGACTTGGACTATGAAGACTCAGAAAACTGTGACACTAAAGAGGTTATAATCGCTGTTCAAGAGACGACTAAAATGGACCTTAGAGACCACCCTAATCATGGGTCCTCAAACTCTTGTGTCCTGGACCTGGCTAGTCTGGTGAAGCCTACGAACTCCTCCTCATAATAATATTTTCACATCCATGAAATAAAATACAGAGGGTTATAAAGGAAATCAAATATATTGAAATGGAATTATCAAAATATTTTTGAAAAACAATCTCACCAATCCTAGGTTAATAACCTTTCATCTAGATTAACCCCCTCATTTTATGGATGCAAATACTTGGACGTAAAAGGGAAGTGACTTGCTCAAGGTCTAATAGGTAACAAACAGAAGAAGTTCCAAAAAGGGAACTTGGCTCCACTGACTCCAAATAACCCTCCTTCTATTATCACATGCTCCTTCTACTAATGAAATTACGGTTCTTTCTTCAAATATTGATTGGTTTTTACCATCATGACATTACTTGAAAACAAGTCAGTGTGGTGGTATATTGACAAATGTATACCTTGCTGTCAGGAGATGCTTATGTTTGAATCCTACCACTAACATTTACTAATTGGGTGATCCTAAAACCATTTAAACTCTTTGCACCTCATCTGTAGAATGAGGATGACAAGAATACCTGTGGCATCTACCCTTACAGGGGGAGTGTGAAGATGAAATGAAATGATGTAAGTAACTTGTTGTTCAGTTGTTTCAGTCACATACAACTTTTCATGACCCCATTTAGGGCTTTCTTGGCAAAGACACTGGATTGGTTTGCCATTTCTTTCTCCAGCTCATTTTACAGATGAGAAAACTGAGGCAAACACAGTTAAGTGATTTGCCCAGGGTCATGCAGCTAGTGAGTGTCTGAGGCTGGATTTGAACTCATCAAAATATGTCTTCCTGATTCACACACCAGTTCTCTATCCATTGCTCCAACTAGCTGCTTCAGGTGTAAGTAAAGTGCTTTGTAAACCTTAAAAGCATTATATAAATATCCGTTCTTACTCTATTTAGATTACTCTTCTACAAGTGAGGTAAGGAAATCAAAAAGTAAGACAATTGATAGTTAATTGATAGTAATGATGGAGTGAAAAGAGCACCACCAGCCTTGATGACAGGTCTGAGCTCAAGTCTTACCTTGGACAAATCACTTAACCACTTTTGGCCTCAGTTTTTTATCCACAAAATGACTTCCTTAAAAGATTCTTTGTGAGGATCAAGTAGATAAAGTTTGTAAACTGTTTTATAACCTTTCTCTCTTCCCTCCCTTCCCCATTCTACTGGTATGGAAGACTCCCAGTGAGGGAACTCCCTCTACCAGTGCATATCAGTAAATTTTTCTGCAACTGAGTCTTATAGAGCTACCTCAGTGAACTACAAGACTAAGTGTCTTGGTGGCATCACACAACCCATATAAATCAGAAGCAAGACTTGGACCCAGGTCTTCCTGGCTCCCAGGCCAGCTTTTCACTATACCACACTGTCTCTCTTCTAGTTGTAAAGTGTATTTAAATGTGCCCTGGGTAAAGCCCTTTGTATAGGGCAGTGCAGATGAGGAAGAGAAGAAAGGGCAGAGTAACATAGCCCCTGTGTGAGGATCAATGAACATGCATTTATTAAGCACTCACTGTGTGAACCCAACAGGCATGGTGCTAAGAGCTGGGAATACAAAAGAAGAATGTACAGATGAATAAAAGAAACTGTGATACTCGGTTTGGTTTCTTTGACTTCTGCCATCCATCCATTCCTTCTCATCTCCCTCCTGCCACATCAGCCCAAGCCCTCATTCCCTCTTAGCTAGACTCTTTGCTTTAATCAAATCTCCCCTCCCCAGTTCATCCTTCACTCCACTGACCAAGGAACCTTCCTAATGGGGGCCATCTCCACTTGTCCTGATCTATATCTTGCCACTGGACCCAGATAGCTCCAGAGGAGCCCTCCCTCACTTGAATCCAATTCACTTGCAAGTCATGGCATCATCTTCCTGATGTCATGATTCTCTTTGAAAATGAAGAACAAACAACAACAATCTTCCTAATGCACAGCTGTGATCATGTCACTTCCACAACCCTGGGAGGTAGATGCTATTATTATCTCCATTTTACAGATGAAGAAACTGAGGAACGAAGAGGTTTAGTGACCTGTCATATAACTAGTGATTACTTGGGGTAGGATTTGAACTCAGATGCCACCTACCTGCTTCTAAGTAGCTCTCCTCAGAAACCTTCTATGACTCCTGATTGCCTAGAAGAATAGTTCCCGACATTTTGTTGTGCTGAAATCTCCATTCAGAAACAAAAAAAAATGTTGTGAACCTCCAAGATAATTTACTATGTTACCCATAATATTCTTTACAATTATTTATTGTTTAAGATGTGATTAAAGAATTTTAGTAGGGGCTGTATACAGCACCAACCTTGGAGTCCGGAGGACTTGAGTTAAAATCCAGCCTCAGATATTTATTAGCTATTTGACCAAGTCACTTAACCCCTATTGCCTCCAAAAAGAAGAAAGAGGAGGAGGAGCAGGAGGAGGAGGAGAAGGAGAAGGAAAAGGAAAAGGAGAAGAAGAAGAATTTTAGTACAAACCCTTGAACCATTTTCGTGAACCCCCAAGGGGTTTGAGAATCACTAAATGGGAATGAAATCTATGTCCAGTATATATAAATAAATATATGATAGTAATGATGCAGTGAAAAGATCACCACCAGCCTTGATGACAGGTCTGAGCTCAAGTCTTACCTAGATATAGTTGTAGGTAATGGAAAGGAGTCAGTCAGATAGAGAAGTAAAGAACCATTGAAGGTGTGTGTGTGTGTGTGTGTGAGAGAGAGAGAGACAGAGAGAGAGAGAGAGAGAGAGAGAGTGATCAAAGAGATAAGCACCTTGAAGGGGTTGGCCTTGGCAACAAGAAAGGCCACCTCTTCCTTAGAGACTAAAGCAAAGGAGAAAGAATGGACTGCCAATGTGGAGGGAGGAGAATATATTTGAAGTGCAGAATAGGGGGGAGTAAAGAGTTACCTAGGAAGCAAGACTTACCTAGGAAAATAAAGTCTCAACTCTCTGGACTGGTATTCAAATCCCTCCACATTTTGGAACCAACTTGTTTTTTCCTATCTTATCTCACACCCACTCCCTCTTAACTCCAGCCTTCCTGTATTACATATCCTATGATTCTCCCCCCCCACACACACCCCATGTCTTTGTTCATGCTATTTCCTATTTTCTCAGCCTGGAAAGCCCTCTCTACCTCTTCCATCTATACCTGTTGAAACTTCCCTATCCTTCTAGACCAATACAAATGCCACTTTCTCCACAAAGCCTTTCCCAAGCCCCCTACATCAGAAGCTTCTTTCTTTTCTTTCTTCATATCTTTCATAACATTTGGGTTCATAGAGTCATGAATTTAGAGCTGGAAGGGACCTTAAACATCATCTAATCCAACACCCCTCCAATTTTACAGATGAGGAAACTAGGGCCAGAAATATTAAGTAATTTGCCCAGGGTCACACAAGCAGCAGATATGAAATTCAAACCTAGGTCCCCAAACTCTATGTCTAGTGCTCTTTATACCTCTCTTAAGCATACATAATACATGTTCTATTTTGTATCATAGGTTTTTTTGGGGGGGGGCACCTCTTATCTCTTCTACTTTGCTGGGAGTCTAGCACTTTTTAAACTGTAGACTGTAAACTATTACTTTTATTTCAATATTTTAAGCTCCGTTTAAGCTCACATTTGAAGGGATTATATAATATAATAAGAAAAGCACTGGATCTGGAGTCAGAACAGAACTAGATTCAAATCCTGCTTCAAAACTTATTAGATATGTACCCATAGGCAAGTTATTTAACCTCTGATTCTCAGTTTTGACAAATGTATATAAAGAATATAACAATAGCCCCTACATCACAGGCTTCTAACAAAAATCAAATGAGATAGTATATAGAAAACAATTGTGAATCTTAAGGATATGTGTGTGTGTGTGTGTGTGTGTGTGTGTGTGTGTGTGTACACACACATAAATGTCAGATATTTTTGTCTTCATTTATCCCCAGTAAAATGTAAGCTCGTAGAGGGCAGGACTGTTTCATTCACTTATCTTAAAATTTTCAGTGCTTAACATAGTGCTTTACACATAGTAGGTGCTTAATAAATATATTTGTTAGATGTAATTCAATCTGTATCTTTCCAGCACCTAGCATGGTGCCTTATATATAGCTGTTTTATATGTTTGTTGAATTGAATTGATTTGAATTTTCAGGAATCCAAGAGAGAATTCTATTCTTTTCATTAAAGGACATTCAAACTAAAACCAGTGCCTTCTTTCTCTCTTACTTTTATATATACTGGACATAGATTTAGTATGTTTCACCTGAGATATTCAAAGTATTTAATAAGTCAATAATAATAACCCAAACAGTTCTAGTTATTTCCTCCTCTCCCTCCCTATCACAACTGCCTTCTCCTCTGTTCATTACTGATGTGCTAAAGGAAGTCACCCAACTGTGGTGCCTGGGTCCACCACAGATTTA